ACGTAAATCATATACGATTTAAACAATATTAGTTTAAACTTCTGGTATACGGTTTTCTGAATGCACGCATCTGAAGCACACGGACAGAAAGCGGCTGTCACAGCATGTGAGTACTAAACTAAGTTCTCATTCACACACAAAAGTTTACGTTAAAAACACACATGAGTTACAAAAAACAGTCGGTTATGTCTGTGAAGGTAAACAGCTGGGAAATAAATCACATGTTTATTTTAGATCTGTGTGGCAGCAGCAACATACATTAAATAAATCAATAGATCCACTGCTCTCTCGTCTCCTCTAAGGCTGGGACTCTAAATAGTGTGATTTTCTAGGCCGATATGGCTAGGAACTATACTCATACTTTCAGGCGCAATTTAGTACACAGCGCCTGAAAATAGTCCCCAGCACGCTCCCTGTGCAAGCAGGTGGTCACATTGGTTAGGTTGACGGAAGTTAAGCCTATTTTCAGGTGCAGCGTAATATCATTGCGCCTGCTGCACCCATGGTACGGCAGCAAAGTTCCTTGATTATTACGCCGGAATTAGAGTATATTTCCTCGCCATATCGGCCTAGAAAATCACAACTTTTCATTTTCCGTCAGTCTTAATACACGATGTAACTACAGAAGAGTCAAGTTTTAAACTCTTTGGTTATTTTTGAGCGAGATGCTAACGGTCTAATTAGATTCAATGATCTATGCTAAGCTACAGCTAAAAGTGCTTCCGCCAGACCTGGAGATCGGCTGAATGGATTCGAAAACGGTAAAACTCAACTGTTTAACTCTAGGGGAGTTGGAAAATGAGCCCATTTTCAAAAATAGTGGAGTGTTCCTTTAAGGAAAAAAAATGCCTATTTGCTGTGTTTTATAAATGGTGACTTTTTTGTTTTGTTTTTTACAACCAGCTAGTAAATACTGTTGCTGTACTAAAATAACTGGTCTGACTAGAGCTGGTTGATATTCACAATGCTGGAATCCTCCTAAACCATCAACGCATTACAACATCTAGAAACTCTTCTCACACAGAAAAATGAGCGCCCCTTCTCAAATTACGTGTAACAAAACAGCTTGCCTATGAGATGTAGGCAGAGGGTTTACACTTAATGCCATACACCTTTGAAATAAACCTCACAAAGTCATGTTTTACCCACTTCCTCATTCCTGAAAGTCTCTAGTATGTACGTCTTTGTCATGAGATATGTAAGTGATACAGACAACTGCTTTGCAGATGAGCCATATGGGTGTGGACTGCCATCTTACTGCACTACTCGCCTTCATCCAAGTCTCTAAATCCCATATTAATCATAAAATCATGAGATTATCACAGTAATCACAGTGCAATTTTAAAAGTTTTGTCCCCAGGCATCATTAAGAGAACATATAGCATGTTAGTGCTAGCTGAACTATCTGTTTGCCATTATTTGCACACTAGTAAGACAACCAACCATTTTTTAAACCCATTACCGGTTTGATTCTTTGAAAATCATTTATAATTAAGTACCTGTTAAATAACCAATCATTTGCTTGTCCAGGCTGTTAAACTGCTGCCTATATTTGAGTCGTGATGCCTGTGGGACGGCCCAATCAGAAGGGCCGCCCTTAGGAGAGTTGCTGGCCAGTGATGTGGAGGGGGAGGGGTTTGAGCTGCAGACATAAGTACACAAGTCACTTTGTGTGCAGATACTATTATGCATGTAATCCTACACAAGAGGATTAATTATATACTATAAAGGTCCATGTGTGGAAGTTCCTGACCTGCTCGAGCCCAGGTCCAACAAAGATGGGTTCTTGTTCATTGGAGCGGCAGAGAAGCCCAGTGGAGAAGAGGAAAAGGAACTTGACACCGGGAGAGCTATGGAAAAAACACAACAAACACATCTTGAAAGAAAAATGTAGCCAATGGCACGCAATGGCAGAGACAGTGTACAAGCCATTACTGAAGGAACACATCATGCACGAGAATATAAGCCACAAAGTCATCATTTTGAGAGGGTTTAGGCATAAAGAGCTGCTTGTTAAAGGGGTCATATGATGCTTTTTTAAAGATCATTATTGCAAATCTTCCCAGATAGTGAGGTAGACATGTGGGGGCGTGTTAGAATGAGCCGTTTTAGGGGGGCGTGGCAGAGTCTTAACTTTGATAAAGAATATCTCTTTGGTTTTGAGACTTTAGTCTTTGCAACTTCAGGGATCTTATCTATGCACAATCAGCTTGTAACACTCCAAAGAGAAAGGAAAACTTGAAATCGCATCATATGACCCCTTTAAATCAACATATAGCTCAGTCTTATAGGTACAGGCTGACACAGGAAGACTGAAGCAGAGAAAATGCTGACTGCAGTAAGTGCAACAGAGATCAGTATCATTTCACCTTTAGCACACCGTACATTCACAGGGGCTCTTGGCTTTACAACATATCCACAATGACACAACACTATTATTCAAAAGTATGGGGTTGGTAAGATTTTTTAATGTTTTTGGAAGAAGTTATGCTCACACCAAGGCTGTAGTTTTTAAAAGTAACAGTAACATTGTGAAATATTATTACAATTTTAAATAAATTTTACGTAAGAAACATTATTATTATCAATGTTGAAAACAGTTGTGCTGATTAATAATTTTGCGGAAACCATGATAGTTTTTTTCAGGGTTCTTTGATGAATAGAAATAACATTTATTTGACATAGAACTCTTGTATCATGATAATTTTTTATGCTAATAGCTTTTAATCAGTTTAATGCATTCTTGCTGAATAATTATATATATTTTTAAATCTTACTGATCCTAAACAGTTTAATGCTATGTAGTACTGATCAAAATAAAGTCCTGGAGTGTTCTGACACACAATGAACCTGTGAACTGTCATAATCTCAAAAAACAAATGGCATAATTTTACTAGATTCAGGCTTCACTGGCATGTGGACCTTAGTGTCTCTTACTGGAAGTGAGAGGGATGGGGGTCGGGTGTAGAATGGCAATAGGTCCATTAGGCAGGGCTGGAGTGCTGATGGTGGGCATCACTGGCATCGACAGCCCTGTGCCCATCATGGGAGTCATGCCCGGCATGGGGCTCATGGTGGTCATTGGTATAGGGGTCAGAATGGGTACGTTCGGCATCATGGGTACATTTGGCATAGTTCCCATTCCTGCAAAAGCACAATGGCAAATTCAAATGGACAATAAGAGAACAAAACATGAGCATTCACTAAATATATTACTTGAGAGGTTTTCAAACCATTCCTTTTTGTAGCAAGTCCTCATTAGTTTGACGCTAGCAAAACTTTTTTACAAATATCAAAAACAAAAGCTACATCTTAAAGCTGACAAGCTGAGGACACATTTCTCTTGTACACTTCGAAGGTTGTGGTTACAGCCATCTGTTCTACATTACGACTCCACTGTATCTTGTGGCCATCAAGCTGTGCACCTGCTGTCATACGAAGGACTTTCATGAGGATTGAGGTTTTCCTAGCAAATGGGGAAGTGACAGTATTTTGCACTTTTGTAGCATTGGCTAAAACTGAAATCTACTTATAATGCTAATCAAGGGGTCTTTTTCCACCAAAACCAGTTGTAACTTAACATTAAACTACTATTGTACCTTTAAAGCTTAAATGACCTCTACATAACTGACCTCCATACAATGCTGGCCAGATTGCTGAACACTGATGTTTGAGCGGCATTCATGTGTGACTGCGGCCGGTCATGGTAACAAAAGAGAAAATTTGTCCTGTTCTGTATTGTGGTACTTAGTAAGGATAACAATTAGATTAACATTAATAATCTGTCGTTACAATAGTAAACGGTGTACCGATTCCCATTTTTGCTACAGTGCAAGACTGTTATAATCCCAATGGCCTCTCAGATCGTTGCTCGGCTGGTTATAGTGTAGTTTGGCAGCGTACCGAGAGGTGTTGCTGGCATGGTTGGAACTGGCACAGGTGGCTGCTTCATGATGATGGGCAGAGCTGGAGGAAGATTCTGTCCCTGCAGTTTCATCTTGATCAGCTTCATGGTTATAGAAAACTCCAGCCGGTCCATCCTACCATCTTTATTCATATCAGCCAGGGCCCTGCCATACACAAACAAAGCAATCAGGGCAAGACTTCTCCATCAATTTATTTTTTGTAATTAATTTTTTATTTTTTTTTTAGTTTGTACATGGTCAGGATTTCTTACCAGATCTCAGCTAGCACAGACTGGGGAAGCCCTGACTGAATGAAGAAGTTTCGTGCCTTCTCCCCTATACACAAAAAAATATATTAAAAAAAAATAAAATAAATAAATAATAATAAAATAAAATATTTTGGTAAATCATTTCATATGTAGTACAATGTAAATTAATTTGTATATAAAATTAATTTCAAGTAATTAATCTCTTATTAAAATGTTTAAATAAATAATAATATTATAATTATAATAATAAAAAAAGTTTTTAACATCTTAATATATTTTAACAATGGCTCCCCATTACATACCTGTAACAAAGCCCCGTTCTGGCGAGAGGGAGTCAAACTTCTGATCATGTTTGTCCCTCTCCTCTGGGGTTATAGCCCAAATACTCCGACCACCTTAAAAGCAAAGTAGACAAAAAGAATGAGGGATGAAGGTGAGAGAAAAAAAGAGAGAAAAGAAATAAACTACTAATAATGCAGGCAGATTCAATACTCAATCAACCCTCTACATTGCGAGTAAATCACTCGCTGTACAAATGCAGAAAGTTTTCTGTGAGGGGTAGGGTTAGGGGTAGGGGTGGGTTTAGGTTAAAGTGTATAACTATCTGTATATAAAAACAATAGAAGTCTATGTAATGTCCCCATTTAGTGTGTGTGTGTGTGTGTGAAAAATAGTATATCAGTCTGGCGAGTAAACAAAAAAAATGTACTAGCCAATGGCGATTATATTGCCAAGGTGTGCATAGAGGGTTGTCAATATTATTATAATTGAGCTACAGTGGGCTTTTGCATAGTCAGGCTGTTTGAATGATCTATGTGGCACATCACTTCAGTCTTTCGGCGCAAGCGTACAAATGCAAAGGCCAAAAAAAAAAAAGAAAAGAAAAAGTCACACTATATAACATTCCAATTTGCATTGTCTAGGTCTGACTTTATAAAACCCAAACTGCATTGGAACAAGATTTAAGATGAAAATGTTTGCATTTAAAAAAAAAAACAATTATTACTTTAGTCAGACTGAAATGTAACTTTTAATGTGCGTTTAAATGCACTTAATGTCACCCTGATATAGGCCTGGGTGATAAAACGGTATCGATATTTATCGACGGTACACCTTCGATAATGATATAAAAAATGTTCGAATTAGTGCACGATATGGTCATGTGCTATGAGTGACGCAGACAGCACACACAAACACGAACATGAGAGCTGTGCCTGCCTGTGATGAGGAGATTGTGAGTAAAGAATGAATATTAGTCGAATTTAAAATAAACATTTGCATTTGAATGCAAAAATAGTACAATCCAATGTTAGATGTGCGTCAGGGAGCGTCATCAGTGGAGCACGAGATGCGGTGATGATGATGTAAGTGACGTTGTAGTTTAATGTTTTGTTAGTCTAGCCCACGAGACGCGCAGTTGCTGCATTATTCATTCAAATATTAGAGAAATATAGAAGCTCAATGCGGAGAAGATCTTGATTAGGTTAAAACCGAAACCAAGCCATTCACACAGAACGCATATTCAGCGCATTTTTTAGACGGACAAATATGACTGCTGCACTCACGTCTCACACAAGAGATGTATAGAAAGCCATGCAAAGTTAAAACAGTTTAAACTTAAAGAAAACACATCGCGCATTTTTGTTGAGGTTTATTCCTTTTCACTGCGTCTCATATGTTTTCAAATTCATTCTGTGTGAATGGCGCTTCGGCTCTTTGGATTAAGCAATGCATAAATACGTGATGCTGTTTTGTTCATAATTGTTTATGCAATTTACGAAATTAT